TTTCCTGCTTGCATTGATCAGGTGCTCCTTCTTCTCCTTTTCTTTTCTTCTACTGTTTTTCAACTGTCCGCTGGTAAATCTGGTCTAGCACTACAATGCCTCCATTGTGCAGCGCTATGAAAGAGAAAAAGAATTCTGCCTCGATAGCCTTTTCACCTCTTCTCTTCCATCGGTCTTGTAGGACTTCTCTATGCATGTATTTTATTCATTTATTATATACTACACTTGTTTGCTTATGCTAATACTAATGATCTGTGTTCAAATTGCACTTGTATGATCGGATTAAGCATCTTAAATGTGATTGTTAATGTGATTGTCATGAGGTGTGCCCTTTGGATTAATCTTTATTGTTTGACGATTTTTACTTGGTGTTATGAGGTATACATACATAATGCTGTCATGAGGTATGCCATTTTGATTAATCTTTATCTTTTGATGGTTTTCTATTTAAGTAAATGAAATGTGTCTGTATCCATTAGGTGTCTCAATCACCTTCTTTTAGCATTTTCAGTGTTGCATTTACTTCTACCTACTTGATATACAGCTTAGATTGAAGTTCACCAACTTATTTGTTGTAGTTACGTGCAGCAAGTTATATTTAACCTTCTCTGCCCTTGCTAGATTTTTCTTGTTCATGTTGTTATACCTCTGAAGCACTTAAGTTTGGATTTGGTACAGTGCTACTACTCAGATGCTGCAATTGCAGATGGCTACTTCTGTGTGCTAGCAGAAGTTTATATGCGTCAAGAGATACCGAAATGTGAAATTCAGAGACTCTTAAGCCTGATCCTCTACAAGGTTGTAGATCCTTCTAGACAAATTCGTGATGATGCCCTTCAGATGCTTGAGACGCTTTCTGTCCGTGAATGGGCTGAGGATGGCATGGAGGGTTCAGGAGGCTACAGAGCTGCTGTTGTAGGGAACCTTCCTGACTCATATCAGCAGTTCCAGTACAAACTCTCTTGCAAACTTGCTAAAGATCACCCTGAACTGAGTCAGTGGCTTTGTGAAGAAATCATGCAGAGGCAGCTTGATGCAGTCGATATAATTGCACAGCATCAAGTCTTGACGTGCATGGCTCCATGGATTGAGAACCTCAATTTCTGGAAACTCAAGGACTCTGGATGGAGTGATAGACTTTTGAAAAGTCTTTATTACGTTACATGGCGGCATGGTGATCAATTTCCTGATGAAATTGAGAAGCTTTGGAGTACAATTGCCAGCAAACCCAGGAACATAAGTCCAGTTTTAGATTTTTTGATTGCAAAAGGTATTGAAGATTGTGATTCAAATGCATCAGCAGAAATAAGTGGCGCATTTGCTACATACTTCTCTGTTGCCAAAAGAGTAAGTTTATATTTAGCTCGTATATGCCCCCAACGTACTATTGATCACTTGGTTTACCAACTGGCTCAGCGAATGCTCGACAGTGTAGAACCTCTGAGGCCTAGTGCCAACCAAGGTGAGGGAAATGGAAACATCGTGTTGGAATTTTCTCAAGGCCCTTCTGTTGCTCAAGTCACATCAGTTGTAGAGAGTCAACCTCACATGTCACCTTTACTAGTTCGCGGGTCCCTTGATGGTCCACTAAGGAACACAAGTGGGAGCTTGAGCTGGAGAACAGCAGCTGTTGGAGGGAGAAGTGCCTCAGGCCCATTGACTCCTATGCCTCCTGAGTTGAATATTGTCCCGGTAACTGCTGGTCGGTCTGGCCAACTTCTTCCATCACTGGTCAACATGTCAGGGCCACTAATGGGAGTACGGAGTTCAACCGGAAGTATGCGAAGTCGTCATCGCTCTCGAGACAGCGGAGACTACTTCATTGACACTCCAAATTCTGGGGATGATGGGTTGCATTCTGGGACTGTTATGCACGGTATCAACGCAAAAGAACTTCAATCAGCATTGCAAGGACATCAGCAGCACTTGCTCTCTCATGCAGACATAGCTTTGATTCTACTTGCTGAAATTGCTTATGAGAACGATGAGGACTTTCGGGAGCATTTACCTTTGCTCTTTCATGTCACTTTTGTATCAATGGATAGTTCAGAGGATATTGTCTTGGAGCATTGTCAGCATCTGCTTGTTAATCTATTGTATTCCCTTGCAGGGCGTCATTTGGAGTTATATGATGTTGAAAATAATGATGGAGAGAACAAGCAGCAAGTAGTAAGCCTCATAAAGTATGTTCAATCTAAGCGGGGTAGCATGATGTGGGAGAATGAGGACCCCACGGTAGTGAGGACGGAGCTACCAAGCGCAGCACTCTTGTCTGCTCTGGTGCAGAGTATGGTGGATGCTATCTTCTTTCAAGGAGATCTCCGAGAAACTTGGGGAGCAGAGGCACTTAAATGGGCTATGGAGTGCACATCTAGGCATTTGGCCTGCCGCTCTCACCAGATTTACCGTTCACTAAGGCCTGGTGTAACAAATGATGCATGTGTATCCTTGCTACGTTGTCTTCACAGGTGCTTGGGAAATCCTATACCAGCTGTTTTAGGTTTTGTTATGGAGATCTTGTTGACATTACAGGTGATGGTGGAGAATATGGAACCAGAAAAGGTTATACTCTATCCCCAGCTTTTCTGGGGTTGTGTGGCCATGATGCATACAGATTTTGTCCATGTGTACTGTCAAGTGCTGGAGCTTTTTCGTCGGGTTATTGACCGTTTATCTTTCCGAGATCGAACAACAGAGAATGTGCTTCTTTCAAGTATGCCTCGAGATGAGCTTGATTCAAGTGTTTCTGACAGTTCTGACTTCCAACGTCTGGAATCACGGAATGCTTGTGAGCCATCAGCGTCAAATGCAAAGTTCCCAGTCTTTGAAGGAGTGCAGCCACTGGTTCTTAAAGGCCTTACGTCCACTGTCAGTCATGGTGTTTCTGTTGAGCTTCTATCGAGGATCACAGTGCCTTCGTGCGATTCCATCTTCGGTGATGCAGAAACACGCCTTTTGATGCACATTACAGGCTTGCTTCCCTGGCTCTGCTTACAGCTCAGCCAGGATGCAGTTATGGGGTTTATGTCACCACTACAGCAGCAACATCATAAGGCTTGCTCTGTTGCAGCCAATATAGCCGTCTGGTGTCAATCAAAATCAATGGATGAATTAGCTACTGTTTTTATGGCTTACTCCCGTGGTGAGATCAAAAGAATAGAAAACCTTTTAGCTTGTGTTTCACCATTACTATGCAATGAATGGTTCCCCAAGCACTCAACTCTGGCATTTGGGCACCTCCTACGGCTTCTTGAAAGAGGGCCAGTGGAATATCATCGTGTTATCCTTCTTATGCTGAAGGCATTGCTTCAGCATACTCCAGTGGATGCTGCTCAGAGTCCACAATTATATGCAATTGTATCTCAGTTGGTGGAAAGCCCTTTGTGTTGGGAGGCACTTAGTGTGTTGGAAGCGCTCTTACACAGTTGTAGCTCTTTACCTGGATCACATCCTAATGAGCTGGGGCAATTTGAGTATGGGCTCGTTAGCACCGAAGAGAAGAGTCTTGCACCTCAAACCTCATTTAAGGCTCGAAGTGGACCATTGCAGTTTGCAATGGGCCTCGGGTTTGGAGCAGGTTCAGCGCCAGCGGGACAATCTAATGCATCTGAATCGGGTTTGTCAGCAAGAGAATTAGCATTGCAAAACACGCGGTTGATGCTAGGGAGGGTGCTTGATAGTTGTCCACTTGGGAAACGGAGAGATTATAGAAGATTAGTTCCTTTTGTAACAATTACAGGGAACCTGTAAGCTTCTCCTTTACACGTTATTAAATATGATATCTGTGAGCTTGACTTGTAAATAAGTGAGCTCATTTAATAATGTAGAGTTAGCTTGGTTCTGATATTTAGAATGCACCAAGCTCCCTCGAGTCTAGTTTTGGTCTAGTTCTTTACATATTTTCAGGTCTATAGATTTGTATATTGTTATCACATAATCAAATGAATGCTTGACCACTATAATGGTATTGGCTACTTTGATGTTTATTTTTTATTTTTTAAAAAGGTGTAGTACGAACTCCTAGAATATATCATGGATTCCGAAAGATAATGTCTCTTTCATATGTGCAACTATGTATTCATGAAGATTGACAAAAAGAAAGGAGAAGATTGTCCCTCAATTCTACCATCCAAGGAAATAGGAAAATACTACGGTAAGTATTTACTAAAAACAAATGCATTTTAACTTGGGACAGTGCAAAGTTATCTTTTAAGTCGCCTGATTATTTCAATGTGTAAAATTTAGAAATAATTTCAAAGACCTCTCCTTGTATTTAACTTCATCACACGAACAGTGATGACCCAAAAGGTCATCCGTGTTTTAGAACCCAATTCGGAGTTCTGAGGCCTTCAAAACCTCATCTTATTTCTCCTCGATTTGCGTGCGCAGTCCAGACGCGTTTAAGGGAAGCCTTTATGTAAAAAATTTGAGAAAATAATAATTTTTGCTTTAAAAGTTGGTTTTAGTTGATTTCGATCAATATTTTGAGTAAACGGATCCGGACTCGTGTTTTGACGCTCCCGCAGGGTCCATAATAAAATATGGGACTTGGGTGTATGCCCGAAATCGAATTCCGAGGTCCCTAGCCCGAGAAATAAATTTTTGATTAAAATTGTTAAACTGAAATTATAATGGTTTTGAGAGAATAGTTAGTAGTTGGTCTCGTTGGTATCGGGTCCGTATTTTGGTTCCGGAGCCCGGTATAGGTCCGTTATGATATTTATGCCTTATTTGTGAAATTTGGTGAGAAACGGAACTGATTTGACGTGATTCGGACTTTTGGTTGAGAAAATAGAACTTTTGAACTTTCTTAAAAATTTCATGTAATTTGATGCTAAATTCATAGTTCTAGGTGTTATTTTGGTAATTTGATCACGCGAGCAAGTCCGTATGATATTTTACGACTTGTGTGCATGTTTGGTTTAGAGCCCCGAGGGCTCGGGTGAGTTTTGGATAGGCTACGGGATGTTTTAGACTTAGAAATCTAGTGTGTTTTGCTGCAGTCAGTGTTTCTGGTTTTCCTTCTTCGCGTTCGCAAATTTACTCTCGTGAACGCGAAGTGTGACCTGGGTTGGGGAGGGGATTGTTCATCGCGAATGCGAAGCCAAGGTCGCGAACGCCGAGCACATGGGGGCTGCTCTTCGTGAATGCGATCGGCATCACACGAACGCGTAGAGTAAAATGGAGGTGGGCTGGGGAACCATTGAGTTGCTCTTCGCGAACGCGATGGTCAGGGGGATAGGCCATCGCGAACGCGAGCAGCTCTTCACGAACGCGAAGGCCCTTATGGCTGCAATGTATCACGAACACGATAAAGACCTGTCCGGTGCTTTAAGAATAGAAGCACAAACGGGAATTGGCAATTATTTCATATTTTACAAATGGAAATTTAATAGATAATAAAGGGGAGGGGAAAACATGCGGAGGGGAAATATCAAACCTGAAAATAGTACAGTAAAGAAATGCAGTAAATATCATGCTTTGCACCAACAGAAGTAATAACATAGCAAAACATGTGTACGACATCACCCTTCGTGCTTTTACTCTCGTTCTTACCATAAGAAACAATAGAAACGGCATGGCATCACCCTTTGTCCATTAACTCTCTGATAACATGGCATGGCATCACCCTTCGTGCATTAACACTCACATGATATGGTACGGCATCACCCTTCATGCATTAACACTCACATGATATGGTACGGCATCACCCTTCATGCATTAACACTCACAGGATATGGCACGACATCACCCTTCATGCATTAACACTCACATGATATGGCACGACATCACCCTTCATGCATTAACACTCACATGATATGGCACGACATCACCCTTCATGCATTAACACTCACTTACAAAACATTGCACGACATCACCTTTCGTGTTTTACACTCTTCCTCACCCAAACAACAGAACAATAACAACCCGGCAAGGGAAATCATCAATAACCAACCTCGTTTTAAAATGTTAAATTTCACAATATAAATCTCAACTTGAGTCAATACTCAACTAATATCTAATTCCAGGAAAAGCATGATAAGATTTGTTTAACATGAAGAATAACCAGTTTAAGCATGAACAATACGAATAAAGAATACAACTGTCATAAGTATAAGACTCACTCGCATGCTATGACCCGACGACAACGCATAGGTACTCGTCACCTCACCTATACATCGTACTCAACAACCAAACACATAGCAAATAAGGCAACAATACAATTACCTCGATTCCACGGCCGAATTCAAGCCTCAAACACCGTTTTTCCCTTAGTTTCCACCTCCGAACCATCCGTATCTAGTCATAATTAACTTAATAATATCAATTATCGCTAAAAAAATCAATTTCAATGCACAATTACAAGTTTCCCAATATTTTTCACAAAAAGTCAAAAACCGACCCCGGACACATTTGGTCAAAACTCGAGGTTCGGACCAAAACTCATTTACCCATTCATCCCCGAGCCCAAATATGTAATTAGTTTCGGAATCCGACTCCAAATCGAGGTCTAAATTCCAATTATACAAAAATCCCTAATTCTACCCAAACCCCCAATTTCTACCATGAAAACCCTATATTTTAGGTTGAAAATTGATAAAATGTAATGGGCAATTGAAAGAAAGTAGTCTAGAATCATTTACCAACACTTTGGAGAAGAATTTGTGTCTTTAAAATCGCCTCGTATATGATTTAACTGCACAGGTTCATGTTATTGTCGTGTCCTAGCCTTGTCACTACTTTGTCGGGGTTAGGCTCGGCACTTACCAGTACATGGGGTCAGTTGTATTGATACTGCACTCTGCACATTCTGTGCAGATTTTTGTACTAGACCTCCTTGATTAGAGTTGGGTTACTCCCTTCAGTCCATCAGCAGACCCAAGGTAGATCTGTCGGCATTCGCAGACCCTAGAGTCCCCTTCCATTTATCCTAGTCTTCCCTGTTTTCTTTTATTTCGAGAACAGATGTATTTTCTTTAAACTAGTATTTGTAGTGATTCTTAGAAGTTCGTGGATTGTGACACCAGATTTTGGGTAGTCGTGTATTAGTGTTCAGACTATTATAAATTTCCAGACTTCTTTACTTTGTTTCGGTTTAATTATTGTTATTTATTGTTTTGGATAGTAGTTAGCCTATTAGATCTTTTTTTATTGGCTTGCCTAGCATTTTGAAAAGTTAGGCGCCATCACGATCCCGACGGTGGGAAATCCAGGTCGTGACAAGTTGATATCAGAACACTAGGTTGCCTAGGCCTCACAATTCACGAACAAGCTAGGTAAAGTATGAGGGATCAGTACGAAGACATCTATGCTTATCCCCCAGAGAATACAAAGTTTAGGAACAACTTCACTTCTATTCTTCTCTATCGTGCGATTTGATTTCTCAATGCTAATCGAACATTTTACTCTTGTTCTTTCGCAGATGGTGAGAACACATACCGCTTCATTGGCTGATCAGCAGCTCAAGCCCTAGTGGCAGATCCTATGAGGGGCAGAGGACGAGGTCGATGCCGTGCCAGAGGCCGAGGCAGGGGCAAGACTCAGCCTAGATCTCGAGCAGCAGTACCAGTGGTGGAGCCTTAGGTGAGTTTGATGAGGAGGCTTCAGCCCTGACAGTTCCAGTAGGACCAACTCAGGTCCCGGAGGGGTTCATAGCCACCCCAGTGCTTCAGGATGCTTTGGTCCGTCTAGTGGGTCTTATGGAGAGTATAGCTCAGACCGACACATTTTCTTTAGCACCAACCGTCTCTCAGGCTGGGGGAGGAGCACAGACTCCTGCTACCCACACTCCGGAGCAGATGGCTCCTCAGTTTCAGACCTCAGCAGCTCATCTAGTTGGAGTAGTTCAACCAGCTACTGCGGCACAGGCCGCTGGTGGATCAGTCATGTCTTTTGAGGCTTTGTTGAGGTTGTACAAGTTCACCAAGCTTTTCTCAATTCATTACAGTGGGGAAGCTTCTGAGGACCTACAAGATTATCTTAATCACTGCCATGAGGTGTTGCGGAACATGGGGATAGTGGAGACCAATGGGGTCGACTTTGCTGTATTCTAGATGATAGGGTCCGCCAAGAGATGGTGGAATGATTTTGTGTTGACTAGACCAGTTGGGTCGCCTGCCTCAACTTGGGACCAGTTCTCTCAGCTATTTCTCGAGAAGTTCCTTCTTGTTACTCAAAGAGAGGACTATTGCAGGCGGTTCAAGCATCTTCAGTAGGGTTCTATGACTGTCACTCAGTACGAGACTAGGTTTGTTTATTTGGCCCGTCATGCTCTTCTTATACTTCCTACCGAGAGAGAGAGAGAGAGAGGGTGAGGAGGTTTATTGAGGGACTCGCTCAACCTATCAGATTGCAGATGGCTAAGGAGATAGAGAGCGAGATTTCTTTTCAGGATGCGGCCAATGTGGCCAGACGAGTTGAGGCAGTTTTAGCTCAGGGGAGTTGTCAGCGGTCTGACAAGAGGCCTCGTCATTCTGGTAGGTTTAGTGGTGCCTTATCTGGAGGTAGGGATTCTTTTGGTAGAGGCCATGCTCCCAGGCCGTTTTATTCAGCACTTCAGACTTCTCACAGTGCTTCAGATAGTCGTGGCTCTCATATGCAGTATTCTGATAAGCTACCCTATAGTGCACCACCAGCTCCTATCAGTGCACCTCGGCTCCAGAGTTTTTAGGGTGGTTACCTAGGCTGTCAGGGTCAGTTTCAGGGTCAACATCCGAGGTCTTGTTATACTTGTGGCGATCCAAGGTACATTGCTAGTTATTACCCTCGAGCATCGAACAATTCTCAGCATCAGGGCTCTCATGCCATGGTCCCAGCACTGGGTATTCCACCGCCCGCTGAGTCAGGTAGAGGTAGGGGTTAGACATCTATAGGTGGAGGTCGAGGTATTAGAGGTGGGGGTCAAACCACTAGAGGTGGAGCCCAGCCAGCAGGAGGCCATCCCAGGGATGCAGTTCAGAGTGGTATGGCCCAACCCCGATGTTAT